AGTAATGTTGTACTGTGCAGTGGTCTCCTGTGGCAACGCACACTTAACCCTAACTACAGTTGGTACCTCCCCCCATCCACCCAACCCCATTCCCACTCCAACCCCTAATCCAATAATAGAAGGGTTTTCGACAAAGTGCAAATTCGTGCACACGGCGACAGGCACATTTCCAATTGGCATCAGCAGAACCCACTTTGAGCTGCTGACACGTTTCAGATTTGTTTTTTTGTTTCTTTCTTTTTTCTATTTTTTTTTTATGTCGGATTTATTTATTTATTGTTAATGCGCAGAAATCCTGGCAGTTTTGATGGCAAAAATGCGAACATTTCCATCAAAGTTCGAATGAAGCCTGTTTTTTTTTTCTAACCCTTTGATGGCGACACACACAAGCAGATGCGAACTCGATGTGGATGTGGTTGAGCTTGTGGGTGGCGGGAGGTGGGAGGTGGCTTGTTGGTCTCTACTATGTCATTTTGCATGTCACGTCACGCAACCACCCGTTCCAACAGTTCGAACATGAAAATCGCATCGGCAAATTTCAGCTGATTAGATACATGTCGAGGGTTGCTCTCTCGATAGAAATGATTTATTAGTTTAATTTGATTTCAATGAAGATTTGATCATTTTGCATACGTTTTGAGCAGGTTTTCCATGGGTTTTTAAACTTAACACTCAAATTTTCCTCTTATATGAAATGCGATCAAGTTAATTCATAAACAAGAATCGGAACAGTACCATCTCATTTTATTCATATTTATTCATACTAATTCGTACTGTCTTTCAAATTTTCGCTCAATTGAATTGGCAACCCTCGCAGCATATTATTGCAAGCTTCGAAATGAAAACCATTCAAAGTCTTATTTAGCTTCAGTAACTTTCAACCGAGTTAGACTCCCAATGCCCGACTCTGAGCAATTAGAAGTCTGTCCGTTCGGCTTGTGCCCCAAATCTAATGGTGATTGCCACACCGCTTATGAGCTGCAATAATCTTTGTATACGTTAGCTGGCCTCTAGCCTGTATCATGTAGCAATCAAAGCTCGGCCGGTTCCAATTAAACAAACACAAGTGGGTTGGGTGGGGGGACGAGTAAGGAACTGGCATTCATTCCGAGAGTGTTCAAGTTACCCGTCGCTGTTGCGAAATGAAATCAAAAGTGCTTCTCCCATTTTGTGTAGATTGCGTGGGTGAGAGGGAGCAGAGCAAATGCCACAAGGTGGGGAGGGGGCAGCAGCACAGTCAACTGAGCCGCAGACATTGAGGCAATTTGACGTGCAATAAAATTGTTGGTTCTTTAGATTTGGCCAATGTAAGATTTTTGCGAACATGTGCGGCAACATGCAAAACAACAACAACTAGAAACAAAGATTTCAAATGTTAAGCTTGACTATAAAAATACCCTATATACATAAATTATTATTATTATATAATAGTATTCATTTTGCTTTTTTTAATATGTTGAATATCTTTGATAGAAAATTAACGTTTTTGGTTGAAATCTAACAGATACATATTTATTGAACTAGTAAGCTTATAAGTCTACATATGTAATACTAAACTAATCTTTTTTTCTTAACAATACTTAGCCATAGTTCTTGCTTATTGCGAAATGCATTTTGTCATAGGGTACAATAAAAAAAAGGGCCAAACCTTTATGAAAATTTCTCAAATTGGATTTCTGACCCTTTGGTCAGCGATGTGTGAAGGTCCTTGGGCAAAATGCGACTGGGCATTTGTATTTGCATCTAATACATAAACATAATGCGTTAATTTAAAAGTATATTCCGGCCAAAAGGAAGACGGCCAAAGATGGCTGGACAAAAAACCACAGAAAACAAAAAATGAGCACAAACAAATATGCAAACATTTGCTGTTGGGCGGTAATCAAATTTGCGATGTGTTTCCTGCCTCTTCTTCCTAACATAAAAATGTAAAATATGAATTGCTGTGCAGGTTTCCCCCAAGGACATGTTTTTTTTTCTTTTTTGGCAAGACCACAGGACATGAGCGATACAAATAAACAAATGATGTAAATTTCATTTTCACATTTTGGCATCAGTAAGAAGAAAAAAAAAAACGAAAATATTCCCCACTCAAATTGAAAATATGAAAAAGCCACATAAACAAATTACATAAATTTATTTGATGGTCTGAGGTGATTTCTCAAATAAAACTATCCCCCCCAAAAACAATCCCTTAAAAATACTGACAGCTGAGAACGGCATAAGCAAACTTTTTCAACGCATTAGAATTACTAAAAGTTCAGCTATTGAGGCATTTGCATTTTATACGCATTTGTCATTCGATTTGTGTGGCTCTTAAATGTCATCGGTCTAGACATTAAAAACCACTTTTCCGGGGAAAAAAGTGCCAAATATTTGACGCACAAAATGTCAATGTCAATTTGAAAAGAAAAAACCAAACCCATTCCACTTCTTGATGAAATGACTGATTTGGTTTTGATTTAGCATCAATCCGAAAGCCAGGTGCTTTTAAAATATATTGATTTACGCATTTCCGAGTGACAAGCGTAGCTTTGACAGATTTTATAAAAATAATTTAAGAAATCCTTGCAGAGCCGAAAAGCGAAGTGGGATGTTCTTTTTTTTCTGTTTGTGTCTGTCTAAATTAGCATATTAATTGGGTTTGATAGCGCTAGTTATATGACTTGAAAATGTTAGAATGATACACATATATAGAGAGATATGTTAGTTGATTGCCGCAGAGGGCACTCGGGGGTGCCATTAAAAGTGCACACACAACGCCAATTTTGCAGTTGGCTCGTCCCGAAAACAAAACGAGATGGGACCACCCCCAATAAACCTCACACTCTCTGCCCCATTTCCATTTCCAGATCGCAACGATTAAAATTATGCAAACACATTATGCGGCAAGAGCAGGAGAAGACCGTAGGCCGTAAACACTCAATATTTGTTGCCGCAAGAAAAGATTTTATGGCATAGCAAAAAAAAATAAAATAAAAAACGAAGCAAAAGTAAATTGCTCAGCTATTTTCTATGCAAATTAGAAAATAACGTTGAGACTGCAATAAATCCGGTAGACAAACATATAAAGTACTTAAAGCTAACTACCTTAAAAATTAGTCAAAGAGGGAACTGACAGATTTCTTCTTCTGCAAAGATCCAAAATAACATTATAAACACAGTTAAAAATAGTTAAAAATCCATTTAATTGAGAGGATTGTCTACAACTATACTCTCAAAAACCTTATATAAATAGGGAAATAAATATATATATATACCTTTTAGAATTGTTTTTTGTTAAAACCCGCTGCTTGAAATACTTTACTTACATTTACTTCAAATATATTTTCTTAATTTAAGAAATCTTCAGTTGACAAACTATTTTCAAACTAGTTTTGGAATTGAAAAATAATTTAACTATGGGAGTTTTGATGGGACTCGAGAGGTTAAGAAGTTTGTCATAATTCTTTTTTAAACAAAAAACGTTGATCAAAACGGTTCTGCAATTGGAAAAAGGCTTGGCTTTGATAAAGTTCTATGAAACTAAAGTTTAGGCACATAAATGCCAAGAACTTTGTAATTTTTTCAGTTTAAACTTAAGTCTCTGTCTATAAGCTGCATATCTTGAAACTATTTGCTATATGAAGCCATCACTTCACAAAGGAAATAGGTAGTGAATAATGGCAAGGAAAATCTCGACATGAGAGCAATATTGCCACTTCAATTGGAAGGATACTACTCACATATGAAAGCACACACGTATGTGAGTGTGTGTGTGTGTGTGTATGTGTATTTGTGTATGTATCTGTCTATTCGAGTGTCCATTTTTAATTAACACTTTGACAATTTGACGCGAAATGCATTTTGTGTGCTTCTAACTAACTGTGACTGTGCGATTGTGGATGCAACTGTGGATGCAATCCGATGAGTTTGCGGCTCCGAAAGACACTGCGTTGAATGTTGCATGTTTAGAATGCAATTGAAGTGTCAGTGTGTGTGTGTGTGTGAGTGCCACATACAGAGTAAGTGTGTGAGTTAGGGGCATGTTGTTGCAGCAGGAACAGAATCAGAGGTTTGGAGTCTCGTCTCGACTCGTTCCTCGTCTAATGCCTCGTCAAGGGGTCAAAATCCCCACACACACAGGACTCGGAACTGCCTGCTAAATGTTGCATGCGCCTGTGTAACCCAATTACCGTTACAAATTACTCACACCTCTTGAATGGAGGGGGCGGTTTGTGTATGCCAAAGTTTGAAGCAAGGGTTTAGGGGTGCGGAGTACGTTCTAGACACGCTTTGCATAATTGATGACAAATTGAAATCATGTTAATGTTTCTCCATACACATATTTATATGTAAATATATATATATATCTATATGTTTATTTGTGTATGAGTGAAGTTTGCATCTCTCTACGAAAAGTATAGAAATTTATTGCATCTGCCCATTCAAACTCCTTCTTCGTGTTTCTTTTTTTTTTTTGCAGCAGCAGCAGTGGCTAACTTGGCCATAAATTCATCAAGTAGCCAAAATCAAATTGCCATTGGATCAATTTGTGGTTGTCAGTGTTTAGCTACCAGTGTTGGACGTCTAAGCCCCAAGGGTCGTATTTGGTGGTCGTAAATCGAAATGAGCCTCACATAAATTTTCAATTGGTCAACTCGAACGTGGAACCTGCGAATTTGTGTTGGATTCAATGCAAATGTGGTGGCTTTAAAGCACACACAATTGACATGTTTTTTGGCAACTTCACTTGAAAAAAAATATAAGTAGATTTTTGATTCAGTTACGCCCATGCTGGGAATTAACCAAATCAAATCGTATTTTGGTTCTGGCTCGAAATTTAAATTCCCAATTAAAGAATTGTGCAATGTAAAACACTCAATCCGGTTCTAGTTTGCTTCTAGTTCTGGTTCAGAAGCTTATCGATTAATTTCGATATACAGTTCCCAATTCCGCTTTGATTGCCTGTCAATTTCGATTAACGGGTCCGATTCCAGATTGGTTCACCTTTTGCTGACAGCTCGACAGATGATTTTGTATTTTATCAAGTAAATATTTATCAAAATTGTTAGAGAAATGCTCGCACCAAAATTACCAGTGACGCCAGCGGAGCTTCTGAGCACGCTGGAGCTATCCGGCTCGCCAGACCTCGACCAGCAGATCACCAATTGGATAATGTGGGACAGGAACGAGGCAACGCTGAAACAGGTGGTGGAGGCCGTCAGTAAAAAAGATTGGGAGGCTTTACGCATTCGCCTCTGCAACTCCCTTTCCTTTGGCACCTGCGGAATGACATCCGTGATGCGGGCTGGTTTCGATTCCATCAATGATCTGGTTACCATTGAATTTGCTCAAGGCCTCAGTAACTATCTAACGGAATTATATCCGAGTGTACAGAAGAGGGAGTCTCAGGGCGTGGTCATTGGGTTTGATGTACGCTATAATGGTAAACGATTTGCCCAACTGATTGCCACAGTTCTGCTGAATAGTCGATTCCGGGTTTATCTATTCAATCGAATGGTCCCAACTCCATTCATTTCCTTTTCGGTGCTGCATCTAAAGTGCTTGGCGGGCATTGAGGTGACTGCATCGCATTCAGCAAAGATTGAGAATGGCTTCAAGGTCTTTTGGTCGAATGGGGCCCACGTCTTAATTCCACATGATAAGAAATTGCAGACGGCCATGCTCAACAACATGGAACCACTTAACTCATCCTGGGATCTCTCCATACTCGATGATCACCCACTCTTCCATGATCCCTATCGTGAAGTTTATCCAGCCTACTTTGAACAGATGAAGAGACTGCTGCCCTCCACATATCTGGAGACGAATGAGTGTAGTCAGCTGCGATTTGCCTACAGTCCACTGCATGGTGTGGGCTTCCCATATATTCGTGAGGCATTCTATCAGGCCCGACTGAAACCACTCATTGTTGTGCCACAGCAAAAAGAACCAGATCCCGATTTTCCCACTGTCAAGAAGCCAAGTCCCTTGGGTAAGAAAATTAATATGAATTTAAGTATAGCTTGGATAAAATTCTCACAGATTTTTATCCTTTGAACACTTAAAACGTTATTGTTCTTTTTATAACTTAAATTTTTGATTTTGAAGATTAATAATTTCTTCTATTCTTAATTTAAAAAAGAGAATGGATCTATTGATTTGGCCATTAAGAAAGCTGAGGAAGAGCACTGCACCATTGTACTAATTAACGATCCAGATGTGGATCGTCTGGCAGTGGCTGAACTCGATCCCCGAGGCAGATGGAAGAAGTTCAATGGCGATGAGCTGGGCGCTCTTTTAGGCTGGTGGGCACTGGAGAGCTACAAGATCCGCGTGGCCAAACCCGTTGTATCGAATTGTGTAATGATTGGCAGCATTGGCAGCTCCCAAATTCTGGCGGCAATGGCCAGAGTCGAGGGCTTCACCTTTGTCGAGACGTTGGTCGGTTTCAAATGGATGTGTAACAAGGCTCTCGAATTGGAAGCACTTGGTCGGACGGTACTCTTTGCCTTCGAGCAGGCCTCTGGCTATATGTTCTCGTTAAATGTGCCCGATAAGGATGCCATCAATGCCACCTGTCAGTTGGCCACCATGGCCTGCCATCTCCGCAGTACCCGCAAACTGACACTAATCGAGAAATTGCGAGAGATCTATGATACCTATGGCTATCATGTGACACTGGCTAACACCCTAACGTATGATAATATCGGTAAGATTGCCAAGGTCTGTGATAGGATGCGCAATTTCAAGGAAAACACACCGGGCACATATCCCCAGTGCATTCTGAATGGTGAATTCGAAGTGGTCAGTGTGCGGGATCTGACCTTGGGTGTGGACACCTCCTATCCGGATCGCAAGCCGCGTCTGCCAGTTAGCCCCAACAAGCAACTGATAACGTTTACCTTCAATAACGGCATGACAATCACATTCCGTGGCTGTGGCTCCGAGCCCACGCTCAGGGTTTTCTCGGAAATGTTTGGACTGCCCGAGCAAAAGAATTGGGATGACATGAATGAAACCCTACAGCGTATGACTCAAGCGGTTATCTATGAATTTGTTTCACAAGTGGATGAGGATTGACGGATGACGGCTTAGTTTCAATGTCCAGAAATTTATTATACATTCTCAAATTGCACTCAGTAAATTGTTAAAAATTTGCATTCCTATGAATATTAATTTGGTTTCCTTAGTTTGTTAGACCTATTTTTCAATTCGAATATTTCAGTTTCAATATAAATTAAGAAATTTCATTTAAATGTACAATTATTGTTTGAATTTCTAATAAATATCTAAATACAAAATATAAAAAATTCGCAAATAAAAAAAGAAAATGGAACTCTAACATTAAGTTAAAGATTGCATTCAGAAGGACTTACAATCTTATTAATATGTGTGTAATGGTGAGAAAGGATTCTCACACAGATCCACTGTTGTCCTTGCCACATATGAGCTGATATCAAGATGCTAACACAAAGAATGAACAAACGTCGACAGCTCATTAAAGTGTCGGAATAGCGAACTGTGGGGGCGCCACAGAAGGCCAATTATGCGTACGGGGCAATTGCCCTATGCGGCATTAAAAGGAGAAGGGAGTGTGAGGAGTGCGGGGTGTTGCAACAATATGTGTGTGTGTGTGTGTGTGTTTGCCTTTGAGCAGCGGCATATCTGTGCAAAAGTATCTGCGAAGACAAACACTGAAATTTTATAGTTCGCTGCCTAATTGCACTCTGGGGGAGTTTGAGCTTCTCTTTATTTTTGCAGCAGTCCCCGTGTCCAACGAGTCCTTGTAATCGTTGGCGATTGTACAGAATCAGCAAGTCGGCAAAAATAATGAAAGCAGTGATTAAGAACGAAGGAAAGAGAAGGAAAAAGTGTCCTCTCCTCTCAAATGGCAGTCAGTTTTGGGCGGTAAATAAGATTGTTAACTTGTCTGTTTGGTTTTCCAGGTCAAACAGAATATTTCAATAGCCCAAAATAAGGTAATGGAGTCATGTGTGTGCGTGTGTGTTCAGTAAACAGGTGAAACGGTAAACATTTGGGGTTCCCAAAGGCATCCGCCGAATTTATATCAAGTCAAATTTTAAGCAAAACAAAGCAAGATAAACGGAACGTAGACTCCCAGAGTATCAAGGTCTAAAGGTCTCTTCTCTCCTTCTGTCAACCATTAAATTTTCCCAAAATACAAAGTGAAAAAAAATATATATAGACATATATCGCAACGCACACGAATTAAATATTAATCATTGTCGACGAAGCCCAGTCGTTTCCCATTTCAGTTCCCAGTTTCCAGTACTCAGTTCCCCTTCCCATTGCCATTTATCCAGCAACTCCCATTTTGGAAGCGTTTCGTGTTTGCATGTGTGTTTATGTGGGCGGGTTGCACGTTTATTTGGTTAGTGAAGATACGCGAAGGTTAGTGCATTATTAAGCACTGTTTATGCGACATTAGGAACATAAAAGGCGACCCGAAGGTCGCGTAAATAACAAACGAGACCACGATTCTCTCTCTAAATGAAATGAAATGAATGCCTTTACCTCCTCAAATACGAAATGCTTACAAAAAATTTTAAATTTCATCGAAAATTGTATGGGGCACATCAGGCGTATCATCTATCTATTTATCTATCCATCTATCTATCTATCTTTTTGCATGTTAGTACACTGGAAGAAGGATTTTCTTTTAAAATCAGGAATAACCAGACTAGATTACAATTTGCTTGTAAAATTTTAAGGTACAACTTGAATGTTTCTAAATAATTATAAATCATTAAGCAAAGAAAACATTAAAACTGCTTGAGTTAAGTATAAATTTACTCATTACAAATAATTTTGTACTCGTGAATCGGGTTCATGTTTTGTACTTCAAATCTATAATAATAATAGTTCTGTTGATTTTAGTCAAAAGATTAGATGAAGAACTTAGAATAAGAACTTAAGATATTAAGTCTCTTTCAGTAGACAAGATCTTGTTTTAAGTTGTAACTGGGCATGTTTTCAGACTGTTTTAAAATGAGAAGTTCGCGATTTCTGTTTTTTTTTTTCTGCAAGTGTAACAATATCTGGATCTATGTCCAAGTTAAATTACACTGCAATTGTGTTCGTTATGTGCTGATATTTATGAGCATACTGTCAGAGTAGCACCAGTGCACCCAACCAAAGAATAGAAACCAATTGGACAAATCACCCCTGCAGCACTGAGGGGCTGCAAGGGATGCGTCGTATGCTGGGCGACTGTGTTGCAACAATGGCATCTTAAATTCGCATTTGAAATGAGGCGCTGCTAAATTGATTACGTGGCACTTGCTCACATCATCAATTTCAGTCCATATGCGCGACAGAATGCCAGCCGGCATTCGGGTTAAGGGCTGCTCTCTGGCTCTGACCATCATAATTGTGATCCACCCCCAACCCCAATCGACCACACCCGCTCAGCTTTTCAAAAAAATACAAAGAGGAGTGCGGTGACACTCAAAAATTTGTGTGTTGCGTTAATTGCGAGCATTTGTTGACTTTGCTTTTTGCGGTTGCAGTTTTTCACTTGATTTCCCATTAATTGGGATAAGCATCGGTTAAATAATCTGTTGTTGCTTTTATACTTAGGGGGATGTAAGCCAAACACAGCCAGCATATGTATAAAAATACATTTGATTTACTTATTTGATTTCAAGATTATAGAAGTTAAGCATTGTTTTAAGTTAAGGATTGCAAAATTGAATATTTAATATTCAATGAACAAGTTATTATAATTTTATTTACATTATAGATGTATGTCCGATTATTATCATATTTTATTGTCTGTTCAGAAAAGATGAAAAATTATAAATAAATTATATATTTTATTTTATTATTTTATTTTGAAACTAGAAACTAAATCTATATTTTTTGATTATTTTTTATAGCGCGAGATAGAAATTTCAATAAAATATTCATCAAAAAGTAGGTGAAATATCTGTTTTAAACAGACTTTGATCTAAACTATTGTTCATCAAAATTTATTAAAATATCTCATCGAAAAATATCTGATTTTAACAGCGTCTAGAATTGACTTAGGAAATTAGCACTTCGATTTTTTGACAGATGAAAAGTATTTCCATAATGTTCTAATGGTTTAATGGCAGCTGCAAAGATTTGTCTTTGCCATGATTTGTTTTTGTATTCGTTGTTGATGTTGTTATTGTGCTTTGGGTTTATTATTGTTTTCACTTTTGTCGCATAAAAATGACAACAAATTAATTTGACTGCCGCGAGCGGTTTCCCGCTGTGTTTTTCACAGTCCTGTTATATATATATATATTTTTTCCGCTTCTTTTTTTCGTTGTTTTTATGAGTGCACGTCCTTGAGTACCCGCCAATAAATTATGTGGATGCAGAGTCGGAACTAGCGATTCAGAGGGTATAATATCATAGAGCAACCCTCACTCCCCTGCCACGAGGAGGGTTCTGGGGTGGGGTGAGTGCGATTCGGTCGACGTGTTTGATTAGCTTTATTAAATATGCAAACAATGAAATTTGGCTTTTTTTTTGTTTTTGTTCAAAAAAGTGGAATATTTTTCGACGTTGTACAATTCAATTAAATTAGCGTGCAGCATGGATATATTTATTTGTAATACCAATGCCATTGCAGAGTCCTTCAGGACTCTATCTACCTCAAAGTCGTTCTAACTCAACCCCACAGATTTTCAGGGGCGCAACAGACGATGAAAAAGTATAAAATAAAAAACCTAATGCATTTGAATTTTTAAATATATTATTTTTTTTTTTTTTGGTTTGTATTCTGGTAGCAAAGTTTACCGTAATAAATAAAAATGTTGCAGACAAATTTTTTGATGTGGTCTCGCGCCCATAATTTAACAGGAAACGGAAACCTTGGAGATTTTGGCTGGGCTATGAATTCATTAATAGTCAGCTTGGCAGCTGTAACAATTTAAGGCACGAAATATATTTGAATTTCCTTTTTTCCTATAATTATTGCAAACTCAGTTTTGCATATTTTTGGAACAAAAAGTCTATATCTAATTGTAACAAGTTACAAATCCATATACGGACAATCAAAAAAATGGGCTGTGGCATTAGATTTTCTTAAGCGACTGCAATATATTCCAAAGCACCAATAAGAACGAAACTGAAGCAGTTAGTAAGAGCGAATTGTGTTTGAAAAGAGAACGTGCCATTGAAAGAGAACTTTCGCACTGCTTTATCGACTCTCTCTCTCGTTCTCTCTGACTGAGTTGGCCCAAATGTGGTCTGAGCTTCAGATTTAAGCGCAAATAGATTTATGTACTAGTTTCTATGGGATAATAAAGCACAGTTTAGGGGATTATATTTTATAGTTTATAGTTATGAACTCAATTTATATAGATTTTTGGGGAATTACAGAAATGATGAATATGATTTCGAAATTAAATAAAAATTTTAGATTATTTTATTTAATAACTAAGCAAATTCACTAAAGAACACTGCAACATGTTGTCAAAGGGGTAAAGTCTCCAACCAACCAAATATGTCTCCAGAGCTGTGAACTTGAAATTCGGTTTTGTATTTCATATGGATGTATTTTTTTTCCTTTCTCGTCAAGCATTTCGAGTAGGTGGATGAATATTTAGGTATTCCCAAGGGTCAGTGGGCAAGGAAAATCGTCGTGGTAAGGATGTGCATATATGTAGATATAGATACATGTATGTGGATGCTGCTGTTTGGGTCGGTTTCCACCCTTTTAGGCCTTTGCGAAAGGGATGCATTCACCGTTCGTTTCATTCACCGTTGCCCCGGAAAGTAACAAATAACTAAATGTCAGGAAAGTGCACATATTGTTGAGAAATGGTTCATTAACAACGTCAATTAAAGTTTGCCGCCAACCGAAAATAATTATTTTTGTGCAGCATTTTGAAAAAAACCGAGATCAGCTACAGAAATTGCATAAGTCCAAAGAAAATGGCAATCTAATGATATATATATATATATTAGAAATTTATTACTTATTTATTTAATAAATTGAAAGTCTAGGTCGAATAGAGACAGACAGGCACACGGATTTGCCCATATCGACTCGGCTAGTGATGCTGACCAAGAAGGAGTCGAAAATGTCTCATTCAATGAGTCGCAAACTTCAAAAGAATCGCTTTTACAAGGTTATATCAAATATTATCAGCTTAGCTAGATAAAATGTTGACATATGTTTATCCCTGATGATCTTTAGTAGTCCTTTATCAAAATGTAAGTTAATTATTCAGAAAATAATCAGTATTCTTTAAGAAGTAAGTTGACAAAGTACTTAAATTACTAAGATTTCAAATAATAGACAAATATTATCGGTTATAGCTTAAAGTACATTTAACCATTGCAGTTATTGTTTATCTATCTATAGTTGCTTCTCCCTTATTGCTCGTTTTTTGATTCTCATCAATTATTCGAGATTCAGTCGGACTTCAGCACTGGTCCTGGACTTCACTCACAGTTGGCTCCTGCTGCTCCTGTTGCCTGCCTGCCTGCCTGCCTGAGCATTGTTTAACAATTAACGGAACAAGATTGTTTAACTTTACCTAAACGATTTAAGTCAACAGCAAACAGCAAACGAAGTGCATCCATTCGACCATTGGAGTATCCATCCACATCCTCAGCCTCAGCTTCAGCCTCATTCTCGTCCTTGTCAGCAGCTCATCAGGATGGCAGTCAGCATCAGTATCTGGATGCTGTTGTTGCTTCCGCTTCCGATGAGGATGACAACGGAGATTCGCTTTTTTCGTGCTTTTTTCAGTTCCAGGCAAATGGTTTTTTGCTGCTCCTGCTCCTGCTCCTTCTGCAGCTGCATCTGCATCCGCTGAAATGGCAGAAAAAAATATTGCCAGGCGATTTTCGTCAACGTTTTATTGTCAACAAACAGTTTTTGTTGGTTTAGCTTCGTTTTTATGGCTGCCACTTCTTTTCGGACAGGTTGTTGCCTTTTTATTTGCTCGTCGATTACACTGCAATTCAGAATCAAGGTTGCAAACCGGTTTTCAAATGAACCTGTTGGCGCTCGGAGTTCCAACTCTTTTGGTTCTATGAGCCACGAACTTTGAACGGAATCCCTTTTAAGAGAAACATCTTAATATCAATTATTTTTACTACATTATTATCATAATTTTGACGAGCCAAACGCAGTTTTTGTTTTCAGATTTTTAGTTGCAAGTCTCGTTTGAGGCAGATCTCTGTCCGCCCTCCCAGACTTTCTCCCGCTATTTTGTTCATCGCATTCGATTCGATCCGATCCAATAATTAAATTTAGCTGGCATTTTGGCGTTCGGCGTTCGCTCAATGGAATTAACTGTTGTCAATTATCCATGTGAGGACTCGGCGCTGCTTTCATGCCTCTAAATAGCAAAAAGCATTAAAAAAAATAAAAAACCCGGCCGCCAATAAAATGTCACTTGGCCAGCATTGAAGTCATCGTCATTGGAATCGGCATCGCTCGTGTTTGGCGGCGTTTGTGCACTGAATTTGGATCGGTGTCCACTCTCTGGCCAGGTGGCGTCTCTTCTGCGGTGGCCAAGACCACACAAGTTGCTTAATTTGTTGCGCTCCATGCCAGATGCCTCCTGCTACAAGTTGTCTCCGCTTGACTCCCCATCAATCAGCGGAGAGTGGCTTTTTTGTTTTTGTGTCTTTTGGTCTCTTTGCCAACGCGCCAATCTTGTTTCATAAAAATTCAGAACACGACTGCCGCAATGTGCTTTTTGCGTATTGCTCGATTGCTTCAGTATTCGATGGGTTTTGTGCCCAGTCCAATAGTCACTATGCTCATGACAGTTCCGCACATATTGCGAAACAGCAGTGAGCTTTAAGAGCACATTGCAACAATTCGTGGCAAGACATCAAAAAAAAAACAAAACAATTACTCAAATATCTTATGATTATTACATCTGCAACCATATTTTGATGATTAAAAAATGATGTTTCTGCTAGAAATAATTAATTACACATTAAGTTACCTTTGCAGGATATCCTGAACTTACCAATGCTTTAACTTTGAATGGATTTTCAACACAATTTATGAGCTATTCATTTATTTCAGAATTCATATTGGAACTGAACAATCTTAATATTTAGACTCATAATCACGCATAGATCAAACAACAAATGAGATCGTTATTTGTTGGGTTTGATTTAATGCATGCGCTAATAAATTCATTACACTTTCGCAATTACGTGGAATAAATTTTAATAAAAGTCGAGCCACACATGGAGTCGAGGCACACGGTTGAGTGCTGAGAACGTGTAGCAGAAGGCATCTAAACGAATTACCCGCAAACCCCAGCATAATCAAGTAAATGAATAGTCGAGGCAACAGACGACAGACAACAGCTGAAAGGGGCAAGAGCCGTGGCCCCAAAAACAGTTGCGGCTGCAGAGATCAAAGTAATTAATTATAATAATTAAAAACTTTTGAAAAGCCGTGCGCCAAGTCGACAGCCAGCGAAGTTGAGAAAAGTTTGTCTGTCAGCATTTGGAAGGTGGAAAGCTCGTTGGAGGAGGAGGGGGAGGAGGTGGAGGGGGAAAATGGTGTTGAGGTTGTGCGCTCGTGTGAGCTTATTATATCCTCGACAATTGCTAGAACGGGTATACGCAATGCACACACACACATGAGCTAGAATCAATTAGAGAGAAACTACTTACTTTGTAATCCACTTTTGTATTACCAGACTTCGATTCAGAAAAGAATATGTATCTAAAATATGAATTAGTCTGAGAATGAGAAATAATACTTACCTATGAAATATATTATCGTATAATTTTCCAAAAGAAACAAAAATCTTTCTTGGGATTGTCAAAACATAAACAAAATGTTTTTAGAATCAAAATACTACATAAAATATCCCAAATAAATGATTAAATATTTAAATAGGATATCTACATAGTCGTTTAGTGTATATGTGTGGCAACTTGTATTCGATGCGACTTTTGAACGCTGTCGCAGCTAACATTTAAGCCGGTGCCAAAGTGCGTCTACCTGTTGAGATTTGGGCAATTCCCCGAGCAAATAACATATTCATATCTTGTCTTGTTGTCGGCTGCATCTTTTGATTTACATGCCTATGCCACCCGCACCACCCCCCTGCTTCACATTAGGCATACTGACATCATAGTTTGCCATTGCCATTTGTCATCGTGTTGTTTTAATCAGCGCTAACAGCCTGCGAGAGCTAGTTTCTTTTGGCATTAGTGCTGCATCGTTGGGTAAATTTGCTGAAAGCACTTACCAACACTGGCTGTGCACATGCCCACGCCCACGCACACGCCCACTTGTCATTGTTTGTGCCCAGTGGAGCAGGATGTGCACTTTTTGCGAAATTAAACCACCAGGATGCAATCATCTAAAGTGTCTAAAGGCTCAACCAAGCGGAGAGTCGGTGGGCGTTAAGGTATTCTACGCCCACTTGCAACCAATTGAACGAATGTCCTTGCAAAATAAAAAAAAAAAACAAAGCCACACATGTGTGTGTGTGTGTGTTTGTTTATGAACTTTACTTCTTATTTCACATCAACAGGCTCTCGGCCATTAATCTAAAAGGGCACTTAATTACGAGGATATTGGAAGCTGGTCTTATCAGTTTTCCACTTGCCATCTTTGCCAATAGTGCTATGCATCTCATGGTGTTGATAATGGCCTGTTTTGTCCTTGTAGTCGGAGTAGGAGTGAATAACTCCATGGGGACGTGTACTCTGCGATCCTGTTGACGACAGACCAATGCCGGCTCCTAAGTTCGAAGTAGATGCAGTGCCCGAGGCAGAGTCCTCACCAAAACGTTGTCCAATTTCAAATGTGGGCCTAAAGAGAATTAATTATGAAAATGTGGTTTAGTTTTTGGTATGTTTTTTTACTCACTGTACGATCTGTTGAACAGTTCCGCCACTGTAGCTGGATCCATCAGCATTTTGCACATGATGTGTCGAACTGGTTACAACTTGTCCACTGCCCGACGAGGACGAAGATGATGACGAGGATGAGGATGACGATGACGATGAGACACCCACGGTCTGACGACGCAGACGTCTCAGCAAATGAGCATTGACTGGATGCACATTCGATTGGCGACCCTCGGAGTCCAAAGTAAAGAACGCTCTTGGCACGAACTGGCCAGCATCTGTAAAAAAAACAAACATGTTAATACTTGATACAAAAGTTAAAGTTAATCGTTTCACATTGTTTGTGACGATTGCAATTTGCATATAAATATATAGATATACATGAGTAATCCAATTTATATTTAGAAACTCTTAAACAATGTTAAATAAACGAGTTTGTGCATCTAATAGCTTAACTACATCTTTGTGTCTTAAAGGTTATTAAAAATAATATATACAAGTTCTTAGAAATCGTTGTTTGCGCATTTCAATAAAGTACAGCAATTTAATACTTTGATGTTGTTTTTTTCTTTAATTATTTTACTTAAAATTTGATGCACTAATGACTATTTAATTATTATTTTTAGCTCTTAGATAAAGATACAAATGAGCGATTGCAGCCAAGTCAAAAATATTCATTGGCTATTTTAAACCTTTCAAAAATAAATAATGAGGAAGTATACCCAATATTAATAGTTCAAAATATATTTAGATATATTCATAAATATTACTCTGTAGTACTTGTACATATGTATTAATAATTTAATTTAATTAGCGGGTATTTTGAAATTTCTGATATGTATCGCAAACCGTTTTGAATATTAAAGAAAGAACAAAAAAGAACAATTAACATACATTTATCGTTAATTGGGAAATTGCATATTATTTTGTTTAAATTTGATTGTTTTTAAATGAAAAACTTGTTTGAGTTTGCAAACGTAGACACAATAATTCTATTAGACATGGATATGCAAATTTGATTCTATTACTTTAAACTTTTTTTTTTGGCGACGTAAATCTTTATACATATAGATACACATATACATTTTGTTGGCTGCGTAGCTTATAATTTTTTTAATCCCATACACACACACACACACACATTAGCATACACGTCTTAAAATACGTTCATAATGAATAAAATAAAGATGAAGATGATAATAGCAATCGTTGAGTTTGTTTTTTTCTAATAACCAAGCCGCGTTACTAATAGAAGATGATGTAATTGAATCGCTAACTTTAGTAGGTTCTATACTAAAGTTTTGAGTGATGACGCATGACTCCAAATGATCATCCACACGATGATCATCAGTCGCAGTGATCGTACTCACCGGAAGCGGCGTAAACGACAGCGAAAAGAGACAAAGCGATGATTGTGTACTTCATGTTGTTAAGTTTAGCTACAAAACACACACAGATCTAACAACGGGTTCACAAAGCACAAGCAACACAGATAAATTAGTCAGTCAGTGCGACTGATCAACGAAGATGCACAAAACGAAAGACTTAGGCGACGAACGCAACACTTTAAAGATCCAAAACCGACTAAACTTACGTTGTCGCTGTTGCTGGCTTTTATATGGAAATTTTTTAGCGCTACTACGTCAGCGCAAATAACAAGGAGAAGAAGAAGAATAAGCTGCCCAAACAGCACTCAGCCCAAGCCCAAGCTCAAGCCCAAAAAGCCGTGCCCAAGCGGAGACGTCAATGCTTAAAGCGAAAACAAAAGAACTCAAAGTAATAAAATCAAAAAAGAAAAATCTTTAAGCCAAAAACTGGAGAGCCAGAGGCGAGCACTTGAGTTACATTTGGTAATTGCGATGATTCAACGTAATTATTTAGTATATTTTCCTTTCATTCCAGACTTCTCGAGTAAATATTCCAACGAAAAGTGATGATGAAAAAAATCCCATATTGGAATGATAATAAAAATAACTAGCAAAACAAGATAATCAATACTAGGCGTCTGTTAATTTGGATTATTGGCAGATTTTTGTCAAACTTGATTTTGTATATTTATGGTTTTTACTTAATTTTTTTTTTTACCTTTTTTTGTTTGTTTGTTTTATTATTCAGTGAATTTGCTCAGGGCTGCATGAGTCTCCCGCTCAGTTGGAAGCTTCTTTTTAGCCTTCTCTTTGGGCCAAGTGTAGCTCTTGAGTTTGGAGTATTGAATTTATTTTCGCTGACCTTATTTGTGGATTTTTTATCTTAGCTTCTTATTTTGCTGTTTCGGGCAATAACCTCGAACTTTGTGTTACAATGAGAAAAAGGTGTTTGAATTCAGAAAACAAATGATTTTTTATGTACTTTTAGCTTTAAAGGTTATATTTAAAACTTGAAACTGAATTTTCTACGATTTCTCCAGCATCTGGAAGACGAGAGTCGTAAAGATTTATAAAATAAAAGCCTAAAACCGGACTAATTAGATAAACAATTACCGCACGAGTTAGTAAATCGATTTAAATGTTTGCGACATAAAATATCCAAAATGATAATATTATGTGAATTTTTAATTCCATTATCTACCAGTTTCTTATATAACATCAAATAATACAAAATCAGTTAAGCTTCTCCTTATAAAAACAAGTAGCAAAACTTGTCGATACCCTAAATGAAAGAATCGCATTCCCTTTGTATAAGTGAGAATATGGAATTTTTCGGCTTCAATTTTGTCAGTTACATATATTTGCGTAACTTTAACATGTTTTGTTTAATTTAAATGAGTTTAGGGCTTAATAAAAACAGTAAGTTGCTCGACATGTCAATAAAAAAATCGCAAACCAGTAAGAAATTCAAATCATCACAAAATGTTCAGCAAACGTGCAGCATTAAAATTAAAGCCTTTTTTCGATTATATTATCTATGCCAAACTTTCAACTAGCTTAATCTACCTCTCTACCTATCTTCCTCTATCTTTATTTCTATCTTTATCTCTATCTATCTATCTCTTTCAAGTCTCTTTGTCCACGGCCCAAAATTAGTCAACATAGATCTGCGTTTTATTATGACTTCCTCTGTTTATTTTTATATATGATGGGGTTGTTACCCTTGCTTGCTTAACCTCTGAAAGCAAAGATATAAAAATTGTTCATATCTTCCAATATTTTCTAAATTTAATAGATATATTAATGATTATTCAGTGGACGCGGCACGCCACTCACTGTAACCTTATTTCTATAAAAATAATCATAACATTGAAGGACGATTATAAAACTAATAGAAAATGCAACTGAATATCGAAATTTGCAGGAAGTATTTTTGAATTTTGAGCACGTTTATTCCTAAAGATTAAATAAAAACGCTTCTGCAAATGCTGACAGGGCACTTTTATGCTCATTCGTAAAAATAATCCCCTGTTTTTTAGAGAAAAACTGAGAAAAAAACGATTTATTATTTTCAGTTGAGAACTGTCGGGACATTAATCATTTGTGTCCGAAATGTGGACACTGGCGAAAATTTCGACAACAACAAATTTTTGGGCTTGCGAAAACTTTTCGCCCTCGGATGTTTGCAACGTGTTGAAATTACAAAAATTGTCTACAAATGTGTTAAAAACTGAAACGGGCCAGCCATAATAAAAAAAATAATACAAGAAATAAAATAGAAACCAAAATAAAATATTTCATTCACACAGAGAGACAAACGGCATAAATTTCCTTTGAGAATAGATTCGTTAGACGCTACAAAAAATGACCTGAACTTGGCTGATGAGAGGGTGTCTGTTGTTGTTGTTGTTGTGTGGTTGCTGTCTTTTTCGGGGGCATTTGCGGCTCAAGGTGATTATGTCTGACAGGCGACCTGGGACAAATGCCTGGACATCTACGGGACATGGGTACTAAGTGCTAAACTCGAATTCGACGTGCCGAAATTGGCCTCAGTATTTGTGATTTATTGGCTTGCGTTTCCCATTTAAAGCATCACATCCTCTTCCGCCCCCCCTCACTCACACCTCATCGAAGGCTTTTTAATTGTATACTACAGATATGTACTTATATTAGTACTAAAGTATCCCAAAGTCTACCAACAAAATATCACTTTATCATTTTGTATCTGTCACATTGTCTGGTTTTCAATTATTCACTTTTTAGCAATTCGCCTGAGAATTATTATATATATATCTTTTCTTATTTTCACATTTCTAAATTTGAGTAATTAAAGCAGCTGATCCTTTAGATATAAAATATGCAAAACATATTCGAATTTTCCTATGAAATTTTAAAGAATCATTATGATTTATAGACCTGTTGGGTCCAGGATTTTGAAGTCTTCACATGACAATCTAAGTCTATAATTAAAACTTTAGCTGACTAACTAATTATTTATTATACCGAGAAAAAAAAATACTACTTATTTTAATGCCTCCTGAAATCTTTAAAGAATATCTAATACATATTAATATATAGATAAAATTTTAAAAAAGAAGTAATTGTGATTGTCAGCAGTAAAATTGTCTTGCTTTTTTCCATTTCGATTAGTCAACAAAATGATCCAAATTTGGCCCACTGTCGAAACAGGCTACAATTGTTTGCCGCTGACGGGTAGTTGTGGATTGTGGATTGTTTTCCCGCATAGTTCGTCCGGCGAATCGTCACGCACTTTGCTGATTTCTCCGGTGATTTTTGCAATCAGAAAATGTGCACAAAATAATGCATGGCAGCTGCTGGGACATGATTAGTTTCCTCTACCCACAATATGAATAGCAAGTGCCAAGGACCAACACATTTCGCAGAGACCAATCCGTTTGTCAGCCTCGCATAGCAAGCAACTCCAAAATGGCTGACAGTCCACAGGAATGCCAAGAAATCAAGAAGTTCACCAAATTAAAATGTAATGAATGCAGCACAATACAGATGGCTACGTGCTGGTCAAACATGAAATACAGTGAGGTAAGTGAAATACGCCAAGTGCATAAGAATAAGTCCGACAAGCAGAACCGTGCTCAATAACAGAAAGAAAAGTAAGAACTCAGCCGCCAAGTGTGCCCGAATACACTTAGAAAAATGAGTAAAAATAAAATAAAATAACATGAAAAACAGTGCTCAACAAAAGAAGAAAATTAACTACTTAGAACATCTACGATTTATACTTGAAGTAAATTCCATTGGGATTAAGAAATCATTGTATTGCTGGTCTTTTGAAAATATTTAAAAATATATAAAATAAATATTAAACACAATATTCAAAAATATTCATTTATAAACCTGCCAAGCTTTCACATACTCCTTGGATATATCCGAGTTTGTACAAAGATTACTGATTCAGTTACAGATAAAAAGCATATGCCATATCAATGTCCACAAAACTTGGAGAACTATTATTATTTTATCTGCGATTGCATAATTCGGCTGTGTTTTCCATGGGAAAGGCAAATAGTCGTAATGCCATTTTGGCAAACTGGGCACACGCCCAGACATGATTGCATCCGCCCAGGAAGCTGTTACGGTACATACATCCTTCCTCTCTTCCTTCCTTCCGGCCGGTGTATCATCCGCAATTTTCACGCCCACTTTGTTTGATGATGACAAATGTTGTTGCGTGTTTGCCGATTTGCGACGTTTATCAGATTGAAACTCGCTTTTCGCCATTCTCCATTCACCATCCGCCTCTTGCAGCCCGTAGTTGGCATAATTATGTTTATTTTCAGATATACAGCTTCCGGCCTCATTTAGGTCACGTGGCGCCAGCCCAGCAGGTCGACGGGGGTAGGGCATTGCGGAACTAGCGGCACGTGCTAATCGGCGGTTGCATGTTCCGTGTTGCAAGCGCAAGCAACCCCCTCCGGATACAAGCCCGATACAAGGCTGATAATTGAAATCGCTAAGCCCAACATCGAATCGGAATGGCTTCATTTAAGTGGTGACCATTTCGCAAGGCAGAAGACAACTAACTGCCTCCTCCTCCAAAACAATATAATGAGTTATATACTCGGTCTCGAACTGAATACTGTAAAAGATGATGAGCACTTAGCTGATTGTCTTTGAACACTTTTCATATACTAATTAATGCACATCAAATAATCCTTAGGTAGAAATAATCTCTTGATGTAATAAACTTTTTGTAGGTCGCTATATTCCCTCTAAGATGATAATCTTTATAAGGCTGTAACTATAAAATACCAAACTTAACTTGTAGAAATTTCTCTAAAATAGTATTTATGTTCTTCTTATGCTACTTTAAACTTTATACAAAATATCATCAGCATCAGACAACTATATAATACCGCTTTCTCCGGGACAATTGGTTGTTTTTTTTTTAAATAGAAAAGTTTAGATCCGGGAAAGTTGAGTCCAGTCTGCAAGGCTATGCAATCTTCGTTATTCCAAAGATATAGATATGCATTATTATATTATTATATATTATATATAACCAAATTCACTCACATGCAAAGATCATTCTTAAATTTTCGAACTTTGTTTACATTATTAGCATTATTCTGTTTTTTAATTTTACCTATAGCTAAACTAGAACTTTGAATCCCATTCCAATGCTTTATAAAGTTCATACTTATTTTGGTATTTCACTAAAAAGCTCTCCTTGCATGCACAA